TTAACTCATTACACGGGGGCGCACCAGAGGACTGACAAGGGGTCGGTTGAGGATTAAGAGAAGGCGAGGGTCTGCAAGATGATAAAGAAACTCGACGATAAGAATATGAATCAGAAAAAAGGAAAACAGAAGCAAAGAAACATAACCAGGATTCACTCACTTAGCTATCTTTTTCTTCATAAAATCCCCAAGACAAACAGAAGATCTTAGAGGGGGAACTATAGCAGCAAAAATATCACCACCACTCTGCGACAAGAGTGGCGTGGTCGGTATCGGAGCCCCAGAAGAACTCAAGCTCGACGACCGCTTGCTACAAGAGAATAAGGCCAAAAGTCAGAACAAAAAGAGGTGTTCAAAAACAGAAAAACAAAACAACTCACCGACGCGTGACAAGGGCCGCATCATCATCCTCATCTTCCTCATTCTCAAACATGGCAACCACAGCGCCATCTGAAAAAGGAGAAAAGTACTCAGTTAAGGGCACAAACAAACAATAAGAAGACAAAGCGTATTAATATGCTCACCTAGGAGCATGCTACCTATAACTTGAGTACCTGGATAAGTACTCGACTGGTGAGGCTTCTTGGTAGCAGACAAACCAGAAGAAGAACAATCCGCTCGCCCCCTTTTTCCGACACTACGAGGAGCTTGAGGAACTGAACGAGGAACATACTCTACATATACGTCAAGAACTGCGGAAGAAACATCAGGAAATATCGTGGTGGTTTGAAACTTACTGGTTAAAGATGCCCCAGCAAGACTATCCCCAGTCTCCACAAAGGCAGGGCAGTCATCAAGGGGGATCGGATCAACAAAGTTACGCCCCAATTCCTATAAAAGAGTAAAACAACCAGACAAGAAACATTAAGCAAAAAGTGGAGACAGCAAAGGAAATACAAAAAGTACCCGCATAAGAAAAAAAACAACTCATAGCGGAGGGCGGTTGTTAGCACAATACTCAAGGACAGCATGTGAAACGATGCTTACTCCTTTCAACATCTTCTGAAGGCGCTCGAGCACCTCATCATCAGTCAACTCAAGGGCAGGGACCATACGAGAAGGATCCTCCGCCCCAGACTACTCAAAACCATAATTTTCTCGCTCCTTCAGAGGCTGAACATGGCGGCGAAGAAAACTAGAAATGATACCAAAGCCGGTCAAGCCCTGCTATTTCAGAGTACATATCCTCTCAAGAAATGTCTTGATCGCCTGGAGCTCATCCATCGTTAGGGGATTCTTTTTCCATTGGTCATTAACCACGGGACCAGAACCAGAATGAACAACAAGAGGAGGAATCAAATTGGCGGTATAAAACCAGTCGGCACGCTAATCCCTCACAGAATCAACCAAGTCATAATCAAAGAATTTACTCTTAAGGCCCTGATGAAACTGAATCCTGCAGCCACCAAGAACATGGGTGTCATCGCGGCGGGGTTGTGGTTTCAGACGGAAGAAGTAACAAAAGAGAGAAAGAGAAGGAGGAATTTCAAGAAAAGTTTCACAAAGATGAACAAAAATGAAAAGATGGAGGATAGCATTGGGAGCAAGATGGTTCGGGCTAACCCCAAAATAACTGAGAAATCGGTGAAGAAAAGCAGAAGCAGGAAGGCAGAGTCCGGCACAGATAAAGGAAACAAAAAGAACAATCTCACCAGGACCTGGAGTTGGGACCCGATGCTCGCCTGGAGCTCTCCAATCAGCAAACTCCTTGCCCTAGATCAGACCATCACTGACAAGCTCGCGCAACTGATCCTCAGTTGTAGTCGGAGCCGGCCAGATCTTCTGAGCAGCCCTCATGGCCATAAATTCTTGATTTTCAATCACAGAAAGCGAAGTCTCCTCGTCTACAAAGGTTGCCTGGGACTTGTTCACTGATTTCTTCCTACCCATATACTAGCGAAAGCAATAAAGCACTAAGAAGCAGTGAGGCTCAGACGGCGATGCTCAGAGGACGGCGACAATGGCGGCGGCGGAGTTTTGAAGACTAGGATTTCAAGACAAAAGGAGGGCAGCAAAGAAAAAGAAAAAGAAAGGCCTTTAAATAGATTTTACAGCAATAAAAACGCGGCCCACCAGGCTCGTTTAAACACGGCATGAGAACGCAACGATTCATTTCTCACAACAACTGATACAGCTGAAATGACGGATGACACACTTCTACACAACAGTACAGTTCAACGGACAGATTTCAGACTTATCCATCCAGCACAACGGCAGAGTTATCATATTACTACAAAAAGAACTCATCAACCAGGAAGCAACGAAGGGTTACCTCACAAGGAACACAAGAACCCAACAATTATAGAAAGAACTCGGGAATCTCATAAACAACCAGGACACTAGCAGAAAAAAGAATGACAACTCGGAAGATAAGATTATTTCCATTACAAATACAAGATTATCTTACAAGACCCAACGAACTCGGTACTACGACAAGTAAGATAGCAAAGAGGCACCCGGACACAACTAGGCTCTGGAACGACAACGTGTTCCAAATTGTTACTCGGTAGAACAAACCACACTCGGCTACACTGTTTTCTTCAAAGAAAGAACACAGCACATCCAAGGCGGAGATCAGCAGCACAGTGGGACAACATGGACCAAGAGAAGTCTGCAAGCATCTGTCTACCCAAGTCCGATGTGATACCGAATATGGTGTTGATCTGCACCGGACAGTCGCAGAGCAGGCGAGGAAGATCAACCCAGAACTGCTGGATGAAGGAACGTATTCCACATCACAAGACTTCCTCCAACTACCGCCATGTACTTCCCGGTACAATGCCGTTGCGGGATTAGTCTACCTCTAATCCTTATCACAAGAATTCCTCCAGCTACGACAAGATGTACAAGAACTACAAAATACGCCTGGGGTCTGCTCTACTTCACAAACTATCATATTCATGACTACGGAGATTTCAGACCACGCAACAAAATGCTCGATGAATCAAAACAGCAGACAAGGGGGTATTTATAGGCCAAAGAAGCGGTGCACATGGACCAAGAGCACCAACGAAACAAACCTAACAAAGGACACAGTGAAAAGACAGAATTAAATGAAAAGATGACTCAGGTGTGAAGTGAACAGTACTCAAGAACGAGCATATTTGGAAAGTCTGTACAACTCATGAACAAACGGTATTTACACTCAACCACCACCATACAACTACATCTAACAACAGCAGACTACTAGAGAACATGCCAAGATCCTGTATCCGAGTTCTTTTTTAATAATGCTTAGGGGCTACAACAGTAGAGGTTTTCAGTTCTTTGAACAACTCAGATTCAAGACCCTCCAACTCTTTGTTCCAAATAGCAAGAGGCTCGGGGGCTACACTCAGTGAGTACACTTTTTCTTCAAAAAAGAACACATCACTCAGAAGACCTCTTCAAGACAAGAGTTGTCAAACAACATAAGATTCAAGACCCTCCAATTTTTTTGTTTCAAATAGAAAGAGGTTCGGGGGCTACACTCAGTGAGTGCAATTTTTTCTTCAAAAAAGCGTACGTTACCAAGGAGACTTCTTCAAGACAGAACACTTCAAGACCTCACGACAAAAAGAACTCGGACCGAACTATATCCGAGTTCTTTTTGATAAAGAACCCGGGTATATGCTCGGGAGCCCTTCGACGAAGAATCAGAGCAATTTCAAGACAAGACCCTCCAGCTACTTGTTCCAAATAGCAAGAGGCTCGGGGGCTACACCCAGCTGGGTGTGCTTTTTCTTCAAAAACACACACCACTCGAAGATCCCAAGAAGCGCTACGTGATTTCACTCAAGAAAGCACTCGGACGACGTTTGTTTCTACTCGACAAGACCTGAAGGAACAAGAAGAGGCTTCCAGAGCTCAACCATGAAGTGCTCGGGGGCTTGTCGATGTGGGATCCACGGGATACCCCGCAAGGAAGGGAGAAGATCTAGTCTAACTATAATTCTTCCCATGTAATCTTAGTAGTAATATTATCCTGTAATCCTACTAGAAACTCTCATTGTAAATCGACTAGGACTCTAGCCTCATGACTATATAAAGGAGGGTGGGGTTCCTGGAGAGAACGAACACTTTACAATCAATCCAACGCAAAGGCTAACGTCGACTGGACGTAGGGCTATTACTCGATCACGGTCGAGGGCCCGAATCAGGATAAATCGACTATCTCTTGTGTTAACCGTCGAGTTCCGCATGCGCTGAAGTCCGAACTAACTGCCCCGGGTACCCCCGTGGCAGGCTATCAGTGGTGAAACATCGACATTAATATGATGTCTAAAGTTTAGATCAATTATTAATGTATCTTAATGACTTGAAATGAAAAAAATCAAAACTACAAAGTTGTAGATCTCGTCGAGAGCTACAATTTTCATATAAAAATCATCTTCATTCGAGTTCGTATGAAAAAATTATGATTGTTTTAAAGTCAGACCTTGTCACGCCACCCCGGGTGGCGTGACAAGATTGTGTTGTCACACCGCCGGCAGTAGTGTGACAAGCTTTCCACGTGGATTATGCGCTGGCAGACCCCTTCCGTGCGCTCCAACATGGCACACCTTGTCACGCCATTGCATGTGGAGCGACAGAGTGTTCTTGTCACGCCACGCGGACCGACGCGACCAAAAGGGTTAGATCTGCAAATATTTGTTCGGGTGGATTGTTTTTAAAATATTAGTTAAAAAAGGGTTAAAAATAAAAAAAAAAGTCGGCATGAAACATACCGTTTTCCTTAAAAGCTGAACAGAGTCTTCTACCTCTGCTCAGCTATTCGCCAACCTCGACATGTACAAACACGGCAGGGTGCTGCAGCTTCCTGCAACCTGACACCCACTATCCAAAAATGTGTCTCGCCATTCTGGCACTCCTAGCTAAATGGCACGTGATCAATCTGTGTCATCGCTCAGGATGACTTTGAAGCTTGCTTTGCCAATGACCAGCTGCTGCATTTACCTTAGCAGTTACAACCTCCCACTTCAGACTTCAGACAGGGAGCATTTAGCAGACCGTCATTATCATCAGCCAGTGTTCCGGGTTATAGTGCCAGAAAGGGAAAGATTCTGATCCGTCTTCGTATGCCTTTTCATGACGAGGGCGTATAGAAGCTCATTCCAGGTATCTGGAACACCTGGCAGGCACCAGTGGCTGCAATCCTGTTTGTAGTGAGGGACGGGTCCTGAAGGGCTTAGGTATACCGAGAGGTGGCCGTCTTTCCGCTGAGCTGTCATCTGCGTCACATTCAGCATATCTAAACCAGAAAGCTTGGGTCTCAGATTGTTCCCTAGAACATCATTCACAGGTTTAAGCAGATCATCCCATTCTTCCAGCGATTCGGGTGGAGTCAAATCTGGAAGAGTTTCCAAGTGACAGCTCCCTCCAGTCTTCCAGTCACCACCTCTGCAGAACATATGGATGACTCCTAGTTAAAGAGACAGTCTAACATATTCACTGGAAAAAAAATCTTGATAATGTATTTTGATATAGCTTTCAGAATAATGAATAGGAAAATATGAGTGCTGCTAAAGGCTTCAAGCACTTTTCACAGTAATGTGATTTACTTTGAACATATCATAAAAGAATCTCAAACACTATCAACTCATTCTTGAGAAAGGAAACAGATGAGGCAGGTGATCACTGACTCACTGCTAACTGAGCAATTATACAGACCTGAAATGCACAGGAGCATATGTACGATAGATGACATGGGTCTTGCTTGTGTTAACTTCTCTGTGAAGCCAATCGGACAATGTATGTATTGATCTTCGGTAAGCATCTGTAACAGTCATATCCATTTTCACCTCATCGCCTTCTTGGAAGTAGGCACCCCTGATTTTCAACATAATTGAAGTGCTATCAAATCACTGGTACCAGTGTGAAATATCAAGTCTGAAATTGAAAGGTGAATTCTTGAACCTGATGGTAACATTTCTACTAATCAAAACAATTTTGCATAAAAAACTTTGAGGTATGGAGATAGCTATTTCTCTAAGAAATTACTGAAATAAGAAGTAGCTGAAGGTATATCAATTCCATCTTAGTAAAGATCATTGAATTCTTAAAAGAATTGCTGCCAAGTGAAGCACAGAAATACAGAATACTACTAAGTTCATAATCCAAGAAGTTTATCCTTACCCCCTTATTGTTTTCTCATTGTTCCACCAGTGCCCAGTGTTGAAGATCAATACATCAGCATCCTTCCACTTACCCCGGTCAGACATCCAATCCATGGCATCCACTCGAATCGTGTACTTAACAATCTCAGGGGCTCCAGCTGGAGCACGACCTTGAAGGACTATAAAAGGGGATCTGTAGTATTCCACAGTGCAGTTGTAGTCTCTAAAGTTGAAAATCAAGAAACCCATGTGCTTTGTGATGGGACTCCCATTAACTTCATAGATTGAACTCTTGTTAGGAACAGCAGTAGAGAGCATACAAAGTAGAGACTCCCATTGGTTCCTTCCAATCGAATCACCAACAAATACTACTCTTCTGTTCCGTAGCTTCTCCAGCATGCTTTTGGCATCAAATCTAACAAATCAAAGAAAGAATGTGGCCAAGTCAGAAAAACAACATCGATTATGTTAGAGTGGTAATGTAAATCTTCCAGATTGTTCCCAGGACCTAAACCACAGGCACCAGATAGACATGATTTAGAAGGCCACAAAGCCATGAACTTGCGTACTAGAAAGAAATTGGTGATCAGCAGCTATTCTTAGAATTCCAAAAATGCTGTAAATTTTCCAATGAGATTGTTGTATCCCAATTTAAACTTTCTCTGCCATAGCCAGTAGGTATAGTACAATATCTCCATTCATGTGCATGCCCAATTAATGGCAGCAGATGCTAAAAAGAATTATAATCCATTGTGAGTTAGGTATTCCTGGAGACAGATGAGTCAACATCGCTAGCATTGTTGGTAGCAAAATGCAAACAACATCATTAATTCGTATTGTTAGCTTGTGACTATAACACAGTTGTACAGGTTGCATTAGATGTTGGGTTCATTTCAGAAATAAGGTACACAAGCAAAAAACATTTTGTGTCAACAAAGGCAACTTGAACAAAGTTACATAACATGAAAAAGGTTCACAGAATGACAGAAGTATAGAATAGAGACAGATCAAGAAATGACACGAAGAGACACCTCTTCCCCAACACAGTTTGCAAGATGGAAGCATCATGACACGCTGGATAACTAAAGAATACCATTTCTTTAATTAATTAATCAATATATCTTCCCAAGACTACAATATCTGTTGACCAAGCGGACGGCAAAGGGTGCATCGAGTTTCCAATCTTGCCACCTAGTCCCAAGGTGAGCGGTTGTACGGAGTGTCGTTCTCTAGGATCTTTCTTAGAAGTTGAAAGTTTGAACTAACACTATGACTGATTCAAGAAACAATGCATCAAAAGAATTCTAACACCCAGATGCCCAAGTTTCTTCACATTGACAAATCTAACAAGTTAATTGCAAGTTCTGGATACACCGTAAACGATTAGAACCTAAGCTCGCCCCCAAAATCCAGAAAGCAGATGCGAATGCGAGGGTGGCAACTGCCAACGGAGCAAACAGCAACGAAAGCAGTAGCAGCGAATCCAACCAACCTGGGGAGATCGCAGCGCGTCGGCTGCCACCGCCACTTGGTGTAGGACGCGTCGGGGCGGCCGTTCTCGGAGCAGCGGAAGCCGACGTCGAGGAAGGGGCAGTCCCTGGAGTCGTAGAGCGGGTAGCCGCCGTCGGCCCGCACCCACTCCCCGTCGAACAGGTCGCACTCCTCCTGATTACCCGCCACCGCCGCCGCCGCGGCAGCCTCTGCCTCGGCCGCGATGGAGACCCCGCCGGCCCAGAGCCTCCGGGGCGCCGCCGCCAGCGCGGCCGCCGAGCAGCGGAGCGACGCGGCGCAGAGCAGCGCCAGCAGAGCGGCCGCCGCCACCGCCGCCACGGCCAGCCCCGCCAGGCCGGCCCTCTCGAGCGGGCCCTTGGCCGCCCGCCGCGCCAGGCGCTTCACCGGCGAACCCAGCACCATTGCCGCCGCCGCCGCCGCCGCAGGAAGCGGAACCAGTAACGGAATCCGACAGCAGGGGACAAAGACTTTCTTCCTTCCGCCCCCTGGTGCTTCGGGCCTCGGTCTAGTAGTGGCTAGTCAGCGGAGCGGTGCGTGCCGCGTGCGCTGCGTGACGCGTGCGGAGGTGGCGGCGCAGGAGGAGGAACTAGGAAGTTGGTGGTGGAGGTGGGCGGATTTATGAGGTGGCGATTGGCGTGAGGAAGAAGGCGAATCTGTTTCTGCCTAGTTCGTTCGTTAATGTTGGCTTTTCAATCTGATTGGAAATCAAAATGTCTTCTTGATTGATCATTCGGTGAAGCATAGCAGTGATTGTGATTGCTGCGCTGTCAATCAGTATCACACTACGCCATTTACTGCGGTTCACCTTACTAATCACGGTTGCGATAGGTGCGCGGGCAGTTGAGCCGCGTAAACAGGGGCGCCGCCGAGCGGTTGAGAGGCCATGGATTAATTCGGCCGTGCCGGGTAATCCCAATCGGCCGGTAATCCTCGCCCTCCGTGTGTCCGTGGACTTGCGGTTGTGGCATTGATAGCAGCAGCAGTTGCGTTGCTGGATTTGTTTGCGGTTCGTGGCTTGGGATGGCATCAAGGTTGGAATGATGGCGCGATTAGTCTCTGCGGGTGGAGGCAAAGAATGATGGTGGTGTGGACGGTGGAGACGGTACGGAACGGAAGGAAGGTTGCTGGTTTTGCTGGTTCCTACTTCGTACGCAAGGTAAGCAACCAGTTTTTTTCCCCTCTCGGTGACTGACAAGAAGGCCCTAACCAGGATCGTGAACCTGAGCTTGTGGTTGGTAATACTGTTCTGGCGATTGTTGTGAGAGAAAAATACTGTTCTAACAGGACGTAATAGTGATTCCATGAGTTGGCTGGCCAGCCAGCCAGCCGGCTTAAAATCAACCGAACACGCCCTAGGCGTTCTCTCTGTGTCTCTGGTGGACCAAGATGGTCTTGCTGCGTATCACTGTACAGTGACAAGACCTCGCTTTCTGGTGGGGTGGTGTCCATGTATGTACCTGGTGGTGTCGTGGTGTCGGCGTTGTTTTTTTGAGCCAGTTTGGCAGTTTGGTAAAAAATGGCTCCACCCTAGAGCAGCAGAGGAGTCGGTGTTGTTTTATATGGAGAAGTCGGAGAAAAAAAAAGTGGCTCCTATGGCTCTAGCTCCGGCTCCTTTTAAGTGGTTTTTTTTATTTTTTATATATTTTTTTACGATTTTGCAGAAATAAATAGTCGAACGAAAAAATTGTAAAAATAGACTTATGCTGCCGGACCAAACGGCGGTGAGGCATTACCGCCGTTTCACGTCCTTACCGCCACCCAAACCGGCGGCCCGCCCACGGATTCCACTGGCGCAGGTTTCGAAGAATCGTCATCGTTTCATCCGAAAGGGGGCCCTTACCGCCAGATGGGCTGGCGGGGCTGCCCCTTATAAAAGAACGCACGCGGGACACCCCCCGCTCTAGACCGGAGGGAGTGAGACCGAGCGAGCGATCCAGAGCGAGCGCGCCAGAGGAGAAGGAGGGAGGGGAGGGGAGGGGAGGAGGAGGAGGTGGAGGTGGGAGCAGTTTTTCGGTCGTCGCTTCATTTCAGGTATTTTTTTTAAATCTCGTAGTTTAGATAATGTAGATAGTGTAGTTGATAGATGTAGTAGTGCATAGATCTAGTAGTTAGTTTAGTAGATCTGAGACTTAGAAAAATCTAGCGGATCTTAGAAATAGGAAAATGTAGTTTAGTTAGTATAGTAGATTTAGCTTAGATATTTAGTTCACATTAAATTTAGTATTTTGTTTTATGTAGATTAAATATGTAGTAGTATTATTTGCATTGCTAGGGTTATATTTTGTTTAGGTATTGACAATGTAGTTTTTATAGGGCTACTTGGAATTATTAGATTTAGTTAGAACTTTTGTACTTGTCGCGTATATTATCCCAGGTACATGCCTATGATAAATTTAGTTCGTAAGATTGATTTAGTGTTAAATAGTTGTTAGTGTGCTTGATAGAATCAAATGATTCCACCATTTATTGAAAAGAAGGTGTTGTTGTAGTTAACTGATTTAAGTTATTGAGAGTAATTTGGACTGCTCGTTTCGTGTATGTTGGCAGGCATGTCGGATAGTTTATATTTCCAAGTGTTCTATGGTCCGGGGGAGGTTAGATATGGTCCAGAAGGGGTAGATTTCAGTGGATTTCCGTGTTTCTGCAAGTACTTACCAAGAGCAAGAGAGAGGACTTGGGGGGCATATGCAGGTGGCTCTGTAAGAATTTCGGTGTTGATAGAGATCAAGTGGATGTGTCTGTGAGGGTTGTAGTGAAGAGACGGCCCAGCATAAACTTTTGGGAGCTGCTCCCTCTTGAAGGAACCCCGAGCTACCAGGCTTATGTAAAGGGTTGCGCGAGGTAGGGTTTACCAATCATATGGTATGTTCAATTATTCACGAAGGCTAGATCTAGCAGTCAGGTGGAAGAAGAAGTGGGAGGTGCTAAAGTTGAAGCGGAGGAAGATGTGGAGAGTACTGAGGGGCAAACGAAGAATTTGATAATGATGGCGAAGAAGGGGGATGCAGAGGATGATGTTGCAGCCCGTGAGCCAAATGGGGAGGCTGATGAGGGGGAAGAAATTGCTGAGTTAGTTGAGTAGGTGGAGAGGGAAGGAGAGGAGGCCAATAGTGCCGTGGATAATGACTCGTCCGATGAGGAAGATACTTACCCTGTTCTGCGGAACTGGTCAAATTATGACTATTTCGCCCTACTGGTCAATGTAGGGGAAAATGTCCCTTGGGAGTACAGGGAGAATGAGGTATGAGTTGGTGCTTTGTACCCAAGTGGGGATGAGGTGAAGGCAGTTGTGAAGAGATGGTCCACTTTATCTTTGCAACGTCAGTTCAGGGTGGAGAAGAGCAACCCGACGGTGTATGATGTCCGTTGTGTGAGAAATGATTGTCCGTTCAAGGTGCACGCATGCAAGGGGAAATGGAAGGATTACTAGGAGGTGACTAGAGTGGTTGAGCACCAATGCTTGCTAGCTGAATTGGAAGGAACACACCGCAACCTCACTGCTGATTTTGTTGCTCAATACATGTATCCTCAGATAGCGTAGAATCCTAGCTTCGAGCCCAAGTCCATTATTTGTGCCATAGAGGAGAAGTTCAAGTACAAGATTAGCTATAGCAAAGCTTATCGAGCGAAGCAGAAGGAGCTAGAGATGAAGTGGGGTACGTTCGAAGCATCCTATGACAACCTCCCTGTCCTGTTGAACACCATATGCCAGAGGAACTCAGGAAGCTTCTACGACGTGAAAACCTATCCATGTGCTCAGATTCTAGGCAAACAGGTCCTGCAACGGTCATTCCTAGCGTTAGGTCCTTACATTAAGGCTTTCCAGCGATGTCGACCAGTCATTTGCATTGATGGCACATTTCTGACTGGAAGGTATAAAGGAACAATATTGACAGCTATTGGGTTTCGATGGCAACAATCAGGTGTTGCCGCTTGCGATCGCATTTGTGGAGAAGGAGTTTGGAGATAGCTAGTATTGGTTCCTAGAGAGGGTGAAGCACATGATTGTGTAGGACATGGAGGGGGTTTGTCTCATTCATGATCGGCACAAAGGTATTCTACAAGCAATCGAAGACCTACAGAATGGAAGTCAGGAGCGTTTCAGGGTGGCGATATGGCCGGACTTGAAGAGTAGGTGGTGCATGAGGCATATGGGTGCAAACTTTCATAGGCAATTCAAGAACAAGACCCTTATGACATTGTTCAAGCGGCTATGCAGCCAGGATCGGGAAAGGAAATTCAACTTGTTGTGGAAGAAACTTGATGACCATACAAAGAAACAATGCAAAGAACTAGCGAAGAAGGCGGTCAACAGCGAGGCCGACCACCCTGTGTCTCTAGAGGACGTCGGGCTCGACGGTCCAAATGTCAGGCGAAGATGGGGAAGATCCATCAAGAGCTTCTCACAATGGATTGAGAATGAGCCGAAGGAAAAATGGACATTACTCTTTGATGAGGGAGGTGCTTGGTGGGGTATAATGACTACAAACCTAGATGAGGCTTACAACTAGGGCCTGCGCGGTGTTCAGGGACTGCCCCTTGTTGGTATCGTGGAATTCTTCCTATACCGCACCATGAAGTACTTCAAGGAAAGGTACCAGTTGGCTGATAACTCAATGCGCGACAATCACATAATATATGGGTACAAGATGACAGAGTAAATGGAGGAGGCGATAAAGAAAGCTCATTTGCATCGTGTGAGTGAAGTGGGAGCCGTGGAATGCCGGTTCGAGGTTGTTTGCAGGGACAAAGCTCGAATGGGCGGGAGGTGTGAGAAGCACACACAGGAGTGCATCATCAGCAATGAAGGGTATGTTTGCTCTTGCCACAAGCCCCATGCCATTGTTGCATGCATTGAGGTGGGGAGACTTCAGCCTCGTCGGTTTGTGTCACACTATTTCTTGAAGGAAACCATATGGCATACTTGGAGGAACGAGATTTATGGATATCGTTTACTAGGAGACTTCATCAACAATCCTGGTAATGCCGCTCACTACATTCCTGACCCTGATCCAGAAATGTTCCAAGGGGTCGGGCGACGCAAGAACAGACGTATCCGGAATGACATGGATCAATTTGAAGCTGGTCCTGATGTCCGCCTCTGTTCCAAGTGCCATGAAGCCGGTCACACCTACAAGAACTGCCCTGCAACGACATATGGAAGTGCGAGCACCCAAGCTGGTCCATCAATCATTGACAGAAATGCTGCAGCGCGTGGTCGGGGTCGTCGTACACGTAGCAACAATGATGGGCTTCTCTAATTCATGTGCTATATGGTAGTGAAGTCGTTGTGTTTTAAGTTTGTGAAGTCGTTGTGTCTTAAGTTTGTCAAGTAGTTGTGATACATGTTTCTGTACTTGTAATTCAGGCGAACCTTCCGAAATGTAATGTAATATGTAACC